TGCAAGTGCTTTAAAAATAAATTCTATCGATTAACAGTTCAAGACATGTTGGATACCCAGCTGAATTTTAGTTATGAGGAGGATGTGAAAAGGTTCCTGTCAAGGGGATGTCAATTTGGCTCCAAGAGGCAGACTTTTCTGACAGCTTCTGTACAAAGCAGGGGTCACTGAGTAACTGCCCCTGTTGGTTAGTAATTGACTCCTACAGCACTGAAAAGTTGAGGGGAGAGGATGTGCAAAGAGTTAATGAGAAGTTCAAGGAATACAAAATGTCCAGGAAGCAGGAAAACTGACAGGCACACAGTGGAAGGAACATTGTATCTGCCTAGTGACCAATTCTTTCTTATTTGGCCAAAAAAGGAGTCACGGGACTAAAATGTACTAAATAGATGCCAACTTTGAGATGCAACAAAGACAGGCAAAACTGGGAGATTTTGCTCATCTAGTGGTAGGAATACCTGTATGTCAATTTAAATGGTAGTTATGCTGTAGAGGGATATATGTTAAATGCACAGAGAAAGCAACTAAGTAAACATTCATTCATTCACACACAGCTCATTTTTGTTTATCAAGTTACCAAGCATTTTACCTTGCATATATTTGGGACTCAGCAACCCCCTCATTCATTCATGCAACATATACAGCATTTATTAAGCACCTACTGTATTCTGGTGATCAGAATTCAGCAGTAATGAAACAAAGCCCCTCATGGAGCTTATATTCTGGTATCATCAAGATGATTGCATTCTCCTGGCTGCAGACTGGGGAATCTGTGAACACAAAAGGTAGTCATCAAGTGCCCAGACTCTGGAGCCCGATAGCCTGGGTCTGAAAGTATACTCTGCCACTTCTAACTGTGTGACCTTGGGCAAGTTTCTTAACTATATTGGGCCTCATTTTCTTCATCAATAAAATGGGAATATAGTGAAGTAATACGTGTGCTTACATATCTACATACGTTAATATAAATGCTCAGATCAATGTTTGGCACTAACAAGCACCGTATAAGTGTCTGGTATTGTTCTGATTAAAGGAAATTTATGTAAATTTAACTCATGGGTAAATAGTGCTTACATATCTACATACGTTAATATAAATGCTCAGATCAATGTTTGGCACTAACAAGCACCGTATAAGTGTCTGGTATTGTTCTGATTAAAGGAAATTTATGTAAATTTAACTCATGGGTAAATAGTCCTCAATTATAAAGAATGGAGACCAGGAAATCAAGACAATAAAACTTGAGGTGCCAAATGCACCTCAATGGATTATCAATGTTTGTATTATTTGTTCAAAGAAGATTGTAGAAGTCAAGAAAGAACATAACTCAATGGTCAAGCTAGTTAACTATGTCTCTGGCTTTCAATTTTCTTATCTGTGAAGATGTGATAAAAGGCCCCCTTGATAGGGGCTCTAGGAGGATTGTGGGAAATGATGTGTGCAAAATGCTAGCACAAGGCCCAGCTGAGAGTGAGCATTTCTTAAATGTGGGCTATTAAAGTTGTAACCTGGTTGTATTGAATTGATATCATTTATTTAGATGGTTTTTGCCATTGCATTTCAATTCAAAAAAGATTTGAGGAAGCTTTCAATGAGAGCATTTCTAAAAACCATTAATCACCGGCCTCATAGATAAACAGAACAAAACACTGGAGTGCTCAATCAAATGAGGTATCTTAAAGATCAATATTACTCCATTAGAAAGGAGATCCTTCCAGTAAGTTTTCTGAGTCTGTAGATCTCAAAGTCTAGAAAAAATTGAGAGATTGTCCAACTAGTTAAGTTTATAAAGCAGGATCAGACATAACTAAACTGCCGTAAATTTACGCTTGAATTAAATCATGATATATATTCAATACTCTTTATTGATAAATTTTTGTATTTTTGCATCTGTCTTCATAAATGAAATAGACTTTTTTTAACTTTCCATATTTCTTTTGGTAACAAGATAAAAATTGGCTCACATAATGAGTTAAGCTTCTTTGCTTATTTTTCTGTTCTCTACAATGATTTTATTTTTAAGGTGATAGCGTTCCTTATTCATTGAATTGTTAATATCACTCCCGCAATATCATCTAGGTCTAGTGTTTGTTTTTAGTTGTTATCATTTATGAATTCCATTTCTTTAACTGCTATTTCTTTAATCAGAATTTCTGATTAAAATTGGCATTTTTCTATTTGTGCAGAAATACAACTATTCATTTAATCAGATTTTCAAATTTATTAGCATAAAATTACTCAATATAATCATTTCTAGTTTTTTTCTATATTAAATCAATAATTGTTTACTCTTTTTGGCATTTAATTTGAATTTCTCTTTTTCTTGATTATCCTTGCCTGAAGTTTATCTTAGTATTTTTTTCCAGTTTTATTGAGTTATAACTGACATATAACATTATATTAGTTTAAGGTGTACAACATCATGATTTGGTGTATGTAATATTGCAGAAAGATTACCATAATAAGTTTAGTTAACATCCATCACCTCCCATGGTTACATGTGATGTTATTGATCGTCTCAAATTTTTGCTCTCAATTTTAATGATTTCCATCACTACTTTTATTTTTAACTTCTTATTTCTTTAGCTTTGGACCATTATTCTTTGTCCAGCTTGTTGAGTTAACCAATTTGTTAATTAGTTTCCCCAAAATTGTGCAAATCTGTAAATTTACTTCTAAGTACTGTTGTAAGTACCTTTCACAAAATTTGATATGTAGTACCATCAATGTCATTTAGTTCTAAAGGGTTGAGATTTCCATCATATTCCTCCCTGAGTTTCTTTGCAGCTCAAGGGTTCATTAATAGTTCCCAGACATATTTAGCATACACGTATTTGTTTTCCTTTTCTTATTCACTGGACAGGACTGAAGCTAACTTTGATGGTAAGCCTGTCTTTGATTACTATAGTTCTGTTCTAGGAGTGCTCCAGAATACAATGTCCAGACTCTTTGGACTGACCAAATCAAGCTTTACTACATAGAGAATGTCAAATCCTTTAAGAAAAACTGCATAACAAAAAAAATATGACTTTTAAAATGTTCACATAAATTTAAGTAACTAAATGAAGGACAATTTCTCCCTTCTTCTGGAAGGAAAATATCTAACGTTTCTACACTAGCTTTGGTCAAGATTTCAAAATACTTTACTGAATCTGGAATTGATAGACCATATTATTTTGGTGAGAAAAACAATGAGATTCACAGAATCAGTAAGAATTTGATCAGGAGATAGTTTCGCAAACATATTTCATATTTTATCTTTGTGTTCATAGTCATAAGGAGGCATGAATGTCAAAGAGGAAAAATCTTGAAGACATTTGATTTAAAAAAATTTAAACGGCTTCACTCATCTTTTTGGCTGCAATCTGCTAAGATTCACAAGATCAATATTGTTCTCCATGAAATATATTTCTTTTTTTGAGAATCCATTTATTTTTATAATACTAGCATCATTTTAATGCTAAGCAAAACTGCTTTAATGCCCCAGTACTACATAAGAGAAAATGTTGTTCTAATGCCATTAGAGCATTTGATTACCACATCCAGTAGATATTGGATGTACTAACAGATTATTAAAAGTAAGCAAAGAAAATTGTAAGAAAAAATAAAAATAAAACTATGAGGGGTTTTAATTTATCAAATTTTTGCATCAGTGTACTCACTAGAAAACAAAACAAAGCAAAAAACAGATATCAAATCAAGAGTTGCCATTTTTTACAGCATGATCATCCTGATGCATTCTTAGCAGTGAAGAAAGATTTATGCTAAAAAACAAAAATATAATTTTTTCCTTTAAATAGTTTGGTTTTCTACTGAATTCCATCTGAACTGCGAAGTTATATTACAGTCTCAAAAAGTGCGCTGGTAAATAAGTCATTATTATCAACTGGGAGAAGTTCCTGAATCTGACGTGGTTTCAAAATACTAAAAATATTAGTCATAGCTTTGGTGATGACAGTCTTTGTTGTGCCAGATTTCCATAAGCAAGTAAAAACATAACAGGTAAGGATGGCATTGAAAAAAAATGTAACTTGGCTTGAAGGTATGCTGGTACATTTATAACAAATTCTGACTCATTATTTGAAGAATATAAGGGAAACTTCCTTTTATTTTTTATTTATTTTGTTTGTTTTTTATTGCAGTAACATTGGTTTATAATATTATATAAATTTCATTGTTAGATATTTCAACTTCTGTGTAGATTACATCATGTTCACCACCCAAAGACTAATTACAATCCATCCCCACACAAATGTGCCTAATCACCCCTTTCACTCTCCTCCCTCCCTTCTTCCCCTCTAGCAACCACCAATCCAATCTGTTTCTATGTGTTTGTCATTGTTTTTATCTTCTACTTTTCATTGAGATCATACAGTATTTGACTTTCTCCCTCTGACTTATTTCACTCAGCATAATACCCTCAAGTTCCATCCATGTTGTTACAAATCACAGGATGTCATCATTTCTTCTGACTGAGTAGTATTCCACTGTGTATATATACCATATCTTCTTCATCCATTCGTCCTTTGATAGGCACCTAGGTTGCTTCCAAGTCTTGGCTATTGTGAATAATGCTGCAATGAACATAGGGGTGCGTGTATCTTTATGCGTCCGTGTTTTCAAGTTCTTTGGAAAAATACCCAGCAGTAGGATAGCTGGATTATATGGTAGATCTATTCTTAAGTTTTTGAAGAACCTCCATACTGTTTTCCACAGTGGCTGCACCAGTTTGCACCCCCGCCAGCAGTGTATGAGTGTTCCCTTCTCTCCACATCCTCTCCAACACTTATTGGGAAACTTCCTTTTAAAAGTAGTTTCTTGCCTTAAATGAAAGTTCTATTTCTCTCAATAGTTTGATAACACTGAAAAGGTAAATGCAGTTGATTTTGTAATTAAGTATATTTTAGGATGTACCACCTGTTCATCTCAAATTATATTTATGACTTACTCCTCATCCCTGCCCCTACCTATCCCTCTATCTTTCTCTTTCTGTTTCACAGAAAAAAGTATGACACCAGCATCCAAAGGAATTCTCCGCCCATTTTTAATCGTCTGCATTATCCTGGGCTGCTTCGTGGCATGTCTGTTCATTTACATCAAGCCCACCAACAGCTGGATCTTCAGTCCAATGGAGTCAGCCAGCTCAGTGCTGAAAATGAAAAATTTCTTCTCCACCAAAACTGATTATTTTAATGAAACTACTATTCTGATTTGGGTGTGGCCATTTGGGCAGACCTTTGATCTTACATCCTGCCAAGCAATGTTCAACATCCAAGGATGCCACCTCACAACAGACCGTTCTCTGTACAACAAATCTCATGCAGTTCTGATCCATCACCGAGACATCAGTTGGGATCTGACTAATTTACCTCAGCAGGCTAGGCCACCCTTCCAGAAATGGATCTGGATGAATTTGGAATCACCCACTCACACACCCCAAAAGAGTGGTATTGAGCACCTGTTCAATCTGACTCTGACTTATCGCCGCGACTCAGATATCCAAGTGCCTTATGGCTTCTTGACGGTGAGCACAAACCCCTTCGTGTTTGAAGTGCCAAGCAAAGAGAAGTTAGTGTGCTGGGTTGTAAGTAACTGGAACCCTGAGCACGCCAGGGTCAAGTATTACAATGAACTAAGCAAAAGTATTGAAATCCATACCTATGGGCAAGCATTTGGAGAGTATGTGAATGATAAAAATTTGATTCCTACCATATCTACTTGCAAATTTTATCTTTCCTTTGAAAACTCCATCCACAAAGATTACATCACAGAAAAGCTCTACAATGCTTTTCTGGCTGGCTCTGTACCTGTTGTTCTGGGGCCATCTAGGGAAAACTATGAAAATTATATTCCAGCAGATTCATTCATTCATGTGGAGGATTATAACTCTCCCAGTGAGCTAGCAAAGTATCTGAAGGAGGTTGACAAAAACGATAAGTTATACCTTAGTTACTTTAACTGGAGGAAGGATTTCACAGTAAATCTTCCACGATTTTGGGAATCACATGCATGCTTGGCTTGTGATCATGTGAAAAGGCATCAGGAATATAAATCTGTCGGTAATCTAGAGAAATGGTTTTGGAATTAAAGTTTTTCATCATTTGCACACTTGGCAAATTATTTTGATGAGATATCATCCAAGTTTTGTGGATGAAAAGAGAGACAACATTCCGCTTTTGTGTCACAATTTATTTTTATCACTCTCTTTTGGGTAACATGTATATTTTGATGGAGATTTTTAAAAGCTCAGCATTAGCAATCATTCCATTTGGTTTTAAATTATCTTGTATATACCTAATTATGTGCGCTGAAAAATAATTTATTCTTTGCTATCATTCGTAAACAGTTTTTTTCACATTTTTGTAGTTGTTTGCAATGTAAGTTTGTGATATGATTATTGTTTCTACATTGATCAACTGTTTAATCTATTTGGGAAATGAAGATGCACATCTTAAAATATGAGATATTTTCACTAGATAGTATAATCTCTAGTTCCAAGTTTGCATAATGTAACAAAGGAAAAGTGTTTGTAATTGAATTCTAACCTCTTTGACTTCGAACTTGAACAAAGTGTATAACTGTCTCTATTTGATCTATTTTTTACCTGTTTACCACATTTGTTTAGGCAGAATTATTCCTATAGTGAATAAAAAAGATAGTGAAGCAGAACTGTGATATTCAGAAAGCTATTAGACTTCCCATTTATTTTCACTAAGTTTACTCGCAAATGTAGCTACTAGTTCTCATGATCTTAAATTAAATTATTCAAGTGTTTTAAAATATCCAATTTTTTGAGAGTTTTAGTACCTGAGAAATAATCCTAATAACAGTTAAGGAAATCTAAGGCAGTTCTCTTCCTGATCCTGATAACACATTATTATAAAAAAACAAATAATTTCCTCAAATAACAAAGGAAAAGGATATGTATAGTTACAAATCATATTTATAAATGGTACGTTTATGTACAACTTTTAATAACATATCAATTTAAAATATCTTTTCTGAAGCCCTAATATTTAAAACAGTATTTATTTTGCTATATGGAGAAATAAATAAATATAACATTTAATAGGTTTGTTCTATTATTTAAAAGAACCTAAACGAAATTATCAAGGTGTTAAATAGAAGATGTGGGAGTCTATAGGAAACACACAATGTTAACACAGAGTAAGATCTCAATGCATATTTGTTGAATGAATAAATAAATGGCATTGAAAGTCATGGAAAAATTTTTGTTTGTTTCAATGAAGTGACAGTTCTAGCCTAGAGGTACTAACTGGAGATGATGTTTCTTATTCCATTTTAGCAATTATTCACATATAGTACACTGCCCTCAGGGTTTTACAGAACCAAAATAAACTTATCATTACATTAGGTTTTTGGAGAATTTATCTCTGAACTTGCGGTTGCTTTATAGCATTTCTCCTCTATAAGGGTTAGGGGCTGGATGTAAGCAGAGAATAGTAGGTGAGAAAATATGGGATGCTAAGAATTCTTCAAGGAAAGCATTCCCCCCAAAAGTCTTTAATGACTTTATCCCATTCAGGCCAAAAATCCATCAAAAGAATCAACATGTTCTGATGACATCCATTTGTAGAGAGAGGCAAATTTCAATTCAGTAAGAAGGAGACATGTCGAACAATCCAGACTCTTTTTTTGAGGGAATGAGATCTCTGGAGCACCCAAAGGATCTGAGCAGAGGAAGATCCTTGTATTGGGTGGAGAATTGTTTGATCCTCAGGTTTATTTCTTTACCCACAATTGAACACGGATGCTGTGTCAGGTAATGTACTAACCAGAGATAAAGATGAACAAGGTACATACTATCACAGCCTTAAAGGAGCTTCCAGTTAAGAGGTGAGGTACATAAGAGCTTCCTCTGAGTCTGTGTTTATGCACATACTACTCTCAATGGAGTTTATATGAGTCACCACTGATTTAACAAAAATAAGACAGCAAATTTCCCCAACTGCTTAGCTATTTGACATGTTTCTGAGCTGCAAACTTTGTTACTCACTTGAACCAATGTAGATTCCCTTCATGTTATCTGTTCTAACCACACTGCATTAAGAAATAGTATGTCTGTGTGGATGCCCTCCCAGATAAGGAAAGATCTCCATATGATCTTTTATTTCTCATCTTAAAATAATCAAATTCATACATTTACTTTGTTATTTTTTGGCCTATGAAAAGTATAAGGATCTGAAGAGGATGCATTGCCAACAAGTTTAGAAAGTACCTGCTTTTCTGAAAGCCGAAAAACATTCAACGTCATGACAACCTGCCTTTCTGTGGCAGATGCTCATGATTTCCGAGAAGTAAGAAACCTGAATCATTGTCTCTATTATCAGATTCGAATTTGGTTTCTTTCTTAGACTTTGACTATAATCACATGCTGATAATATGATTCAAGCCAAGGCAATAATATTAAGTGACTAACTGGCACCACTGTATATTGAAAACCCATTACCGAGTCCCAGAAGAATGTTTTCTGAGTTTGAAGTGCCAAAATGAATGAGGTAACTTCAGTTCTGGGGCCATTGATCAGTGAGTTTTAGGGCTAGAAGGAATTATAACAATGCTTACAAACCAATCCCTTTATTCTATTTATGAGTTAACTAGATTCAGAGATAATATTTATTCAAGACATATATTGAGACACACCCACACACTCACACACCCCGCAGCTAATGACAGCCGATATTAGAATTTAAGGCTCTTATCTTTCTTAATCCTGCATTCTTGTTCATTGTATTTCTCACTTTATCATAGAAGTACATCTCAGTTCCTACAAATGTGAATGCCTTATAGGTATTATTAGGGCCTGTAGAATATTACACTCTATGTGGAGGCACTCTGACCTTTGAAAAGGTATAGAATAAACAGAACATCAAATTTATTAGCATTCTTTCTGGTTTAGATATTTTAGAAGTTGAGCTTTAGGAGAAGGAAATGGATTTTCAATACATTTTAAATGCAGTACTTGAATGTATTGAAATGCAACCCTCAAGATGCTATATGGTTCTCAGCTACTCCTTCAATAAATCCTGTGGATTGCAATTCTTTTTAAGGATATCATATGGTGAAAGATATTGATTTGACAAAATTGGCTTGCTGCTTGTTATAAAAACAATTATGCCAGGGGACAGATTGTGGATATAAAAAAGAATAGATTGTTTAAAAAGTTTTATTTCAAAATATCAAAAATCTATTACCTTCAATGGGCTGAATATTTAAATATTAATTATTGTAGACCTTACTAGTAGGAATATATGAATATTAGTTGTTATAGGCTTTATGAGTAACAAAATACACTGAATTCTCCATATCCAGCAGTATTACAGTCTGAAAAAAAAAGACATGACAGTCACATTTTATGATAGCCATAAATTTGACAATATGAAGTAGAAACAAAAAAATTGTCTTAGTGGGAAACCAATATCAGTTTAAAAATTTTATATTTGCTGCATAAGTCCTTACTATGCTAGAATGTACAGAAACGTTTTCTGTTGTGAGGGCTTAGAAACCTCAGAGCATTTGAGTGTAAAGTGACAGAATATTTAGGAATTGTTTACTGAGCCTTTAAATTCTTGCCTCCAGTTGGAGGTTAAATACGGAAAGAATAGGAACCTATACTGTTGATATCTTTTGCCTGCCTATTTTCAAACTAGATTCCATGAGTCTTAAGGTAACCACCTAGAAAACGTCTTTGCATGAATTAATGTTACCAAAACAAGGTTTAGGTCCTTACATTATGACTTAGTGCTTAACCATATCTTTGAGTTCCCTTGAACTCTGATCTCATTTAGGAACTTTTTAACAAATTAATTATAATCAAGCTGTTAAATCAAGCTTCAGGATTTAAAAGATAAGCACAGCGCCCAACAGAGAGGAGGATCTGAAACTAGGTGTTGAATGAATAAACAAATTGCATTCGAGGTTATGCAAAATATTTTTTAAGTATGATAACAGTCCCAGTTTATTGGTACCAGCTAGAGATGATATTTTATATTCATTTCATTGGTCGGTTTGCTGCCTAGATGCAAAGGGAAGGCATTTTATGTCCTTCCAGACTTACTGCGTTCTAAGACCCCCTAAGAAGTAACATTTCAAGAAAGATTAGAAAGGATTTGGAACATGTTAACATTCTATTCAAATATTAATATACCAACTGTTTCTAATAGGAAAGACAGTAAGTATTTAACGAGAATATAAAGTTCAAGCACTGTGAAGGGCACATATTTATTACCAAACTATGCACGGAGAGAAATATAGTTTCTTTCCTCCCTAACTGCACTCCTTTGTATTGCAAACATCAGTCAATTAAGAGGATATTTTTTTCTAGATGTCTCTCATCTAGAGATTTTGTAGCATTTTGCAAATGGGTAAGCTCCACTACCATCCAAAGTGTTCTCTGTCTCAGTAATTCATATTGAATGTATCTGTAGTCATAAGCATTGTATAGAACAATCAACAGAACATAACTGAGAGAGAGCCTGCTAAACCAGAAATGTGAATACTGCTAGGCTGGGTTATGGGTTCAACAAACCATAATTTTGAGAAAGCCGCTTAACTTCTCTGGACCTTGTTGTTTGTAAGATTCCTTCTAGCACTATTACTCTCTCATCTAAGATCTAAACTGATATATGCACATATTTGCAAATGAAATTTCAGTGACCATCTCAAAATAAGTTTTTGGAGGTAAATATTCCAAACAGATTTCCCTCTTCTTTTTCTGAATAGACTTTTAAAGTATAAAACTGATTATTTAACCTAATATGTGGAGAGAACCTAATCCAATGCTTGGACTATAGCAAGTCCTCAATTAACTAACTTTCCTCCTCCAACTCTTTCCTACTCTTATTTCTCTACCTGCATCCTCCGCAATTCATGCGCTCACTGCTCACTGAGACCTTAATTGCTTGCAGAAAACCAACCCACATATTGGCTTTATTTTAAAATATTGTAGATATTTTTAATGCCATCCAGATTCTTATGAAAATAATCTAAAATTTTTTATTGATGCAAAAATTTCAGGGAAACAGTGGAGGCACATAGTCAGTCCCCAGATGACAATAAAATGGGGAGTATAATTTGAATACGCTAGATTAAATACGTCTAGATAATTTAGTTATTTTTGAATTCATGGTTAATATATATTTATGCATTTGATTTACTTTAAAAATGTTTTGAAGAATTTAAAAAGGACCTCTGCAACATCAACCACCTTTCCTCAGTGTGACTGAAAGCCTGGTTCCTGGTTCTTCTGACCTGGAATCACCAAAAGTCTTTATTAACAATACCGGTTTCTGGGCCCTGCTCGTTCAGTTAGAATCTCTTGAAATAAGTCCAAACAACCATGCTTTTAATACATTTCCTAAGTTAGTCTGTTCCGTACTATAATTTGTGACCCATCCTAAGCCAGCAGTTCTCAAACACACATATGTCTTTGGGACTTCCTGGATCGGTTGCGTAAGAATCTTTTGAAAGAGTGTTAATAATACACAGCTTCTGATTCTCTGGGTCTGAGATGAGAGCTGGAATCTGTATTTTAAAAATCTCCCCAGATAGTTCTGATGTGCTGTCAGTTTTGAGGCCTATGTCTTCGCCACCCACTAAATGGGAAGTATTCTATTACTCAACATATACAAGCTATCACCTGGAATCTTCCAGAATATGTCAGTAAAGTATTCCTCTACTTCAAGATCCAAGACATTCTCTATGTCTGTTATTTCATGCATAAGCATAATGCTGACTGACTAATCTCTTCATCTGGGGCAGGTGATTTACAGTCTCCAGAACCTCTTTCAATTATTGAGTGGTTTATAGCGGTATTTCTCAAGCCTGGATGCACATCTGAATCACCGGTAGAGGATTTAAAGCTGCAGATGTCCAAACCCCATCTCCAGAGACCTGATCCAGTTGGTCTGAGAGAGGCCCCAGAATCAAACAGTTGTAGAGGCGCCACAGGTGATACCAATGTGGGGCCACCTCTGGGAACCACTGGTCTACACAGAACGCATGAGCAGTTCTTGGCCTGGAGGAATTAATAGGCTAAGAAGAGGTTATATATCTTAAAAAAATACCTCTCATTCTCTTTTTAGCTTCTAATGACATGTTTGCATTTTGCAATGTGGAAGACTAGACTACACAATTAGTAGAATCCTTTATAACCACAAAATCTTATGCTATTGTGATCTGCTTATCCTCTCTATGGGTTTAAAAGACCTCTTCCCCAGGTCCCAAAGTCCTTGCTTGGTGGATGGAAACATAGCTTGCAATTGGGATATAGCAATGAGCTATAGCATGTGGATTCTTGGTGACCACAGATGTAGAATTGAACCCCAGCTCTGCCACTCACTGTGTGCAAGTGACTTGACTTCTCTTAGCCTCAGATTTTACATCTGTAAAGTGGAGGTAGCTTATTCCTGATGTGTTTCTTGTGAGGACAAGTGAAATGACATTTAAGTGACTAGACAATGTGTTCAATTAGTATCATTTGTTATCATAAAAGATCATTGTGCGGAACTCAAAACTATTTCTGAAATTTCAGTTCTAAAATTCTGAAAACACTAAGCAGACAGCTTATACGAATCATTGCAAATTTAAATAAGCCAAAGAAATGTTCTTCAGGAAAAGAGAAACAAACAAATATAGTGTGGAAGCATGCACTTGTGTCTTCCATAATTACTCAGCAATGGAAGGGGTATGGGGAGCTGACAGTGGTAGCACATGGGCATTATTGGCATTACTGAACACATAAACCATTTCTGAAAATAATTGGAACACAAGCAGGCCTAATTTTCCCTCACCATTATAAGCAATCAGTAAATTAATAGTCAATTTAGCTTATTATCAGTTGGTATAGCTTATGTCACAGAATGCAGTAGCAGGAAGATTCCCAGAGATCATTTTCTGGTAAGGAAAAAGGCCTAGAAATATTCAACAACTTGACTTACTTCATCACTTCAGTTGGTCCACCAGCTTAGTCACAGAGCTACTGAACGATGTAAGTTAAGAAACAGAATCAAGTCTCCAACTACTTTTCCTAAAGTTAAAAAAAAAAGCTAAAGCTTACTTTTAAAATGTTAGGGTACAAATTCAATAAATAGGAATATATTTGTTTGGTGGTACAGAAATAAAATAATTCTTAGCCAGACTGTGATTAAGACTACTCTAATTGCTAATTGCATAATAAATACGGGTTTGACAAGAGTAATCTCAGCTGTTCATATGCACAATTTGTAAGTTGTACTGTAATGGAACAAAAAAGTAAACATAAGGAAAATTTTTAAATTTATGTGTGAGTAAATAAATCATATTCAAAGTAGTATTTTTAAGTAGCTCCTAATCGTCTCACTTTAAAGAGTATTAGAAATGTTTATTTCAGATACATTAGAAAACTTCAAAAATCGATTATTTTTCTGAGTTTTCTGGCAACCAAATTGTTAAATTTGTTGTGTATGTAAAGTATGTTAAATTAGAGCTGGCTAGAATTGCATTATGAAAAACAAATTTTAGCTGAAAAATTCTAAAAGTGCTTTCTACAGAAAGGTATTTTAACCATGGCGAATCTTTATACACATGGCTGCATTCCATTTTGATTAATGAGGGTGCAGGAGAAAGGCAGGCTCAGCAGAAACGGTACCCAGACTAAATTAACCCAGTACTACTCATTATGCAAGAAATATGTGCCAGAGTTACCATAATGCATCCCCTGATCTCAGATTGGCCTCATTAGCTACCTTCAGTACCTTAGATGAGACAATCCTGGAGATGCCATCTTCCAAGTTGAGATTGCCAGAAGAGAGCTCACTATCATCTAGAACAGGATATGTGTCTGCAGGGACTATAATGAGCTCAGGCCTTTCACATACTGGTTTTCTTTTTCAATAGGCCTTGAACCAACCAAGAATATCTGGTTGTCTATGTAAAACTCGGAGCAGTCCACATTTTAGATAACAGATGACCTATCTTAAATATTTTACATATTATTTTAAAATAATCAATCAAAGAACAAAGACTATCATACTTGAGACCAGGAGTTTACTACAAGGAAAAGAAAAGTCAGCTTGCAGATGCTCTACATTCAAATCAATGAGAGCTCTTGCCCTGGAACACTAACAGGTTATGTGGCATTGGAAATGGAGATAGGAAAAAGGAGTGAAAATAATGACACCTTTTTTACTCTTAAATAAAAAGTTTAAATCTTTAGAGCTATCAGCATGATGGCATCCTTCAAAAACAATATATTTAGTTTTGTGCTTTTTTTCCCCCTCTTTTTTTTTAAGGTTAAGTTTGGTAGGGGTCAGGGTTAGTGGAGCAATTAAGACAATATAAAAATAATATTTCCATAAATCATGCGTAAGATGAAGGTAAGAAGTAATGTTTGCTGGAGGAAATGCAACTGGTCAAAACTATTTGAATGAAATTATTGAGATTAATCATCTTCATTGGGATAATGCCATTTTTTTCTGAATCCAAAACAACGTTGTATGTCATGGAGATTTTTAAAGGGAAAAAGAGCTAAGTCTGAATGTAGATTCAAGTTCACAAAGCTGCAGCAAGGAGAAAAATGGTGACAAGAAACACAGAAAGAGCAGTAAACTAAGTTCTAGTTTACACAATCTATAGTACAATTTCTCATTTGTCAACCGAGTGTGGTGGACTTTACATTAGAATCACCTGGGAAGTTCTTCATAAATCTTGATTTGTTGATTACACATTCTAGTTTAATTACCCTGGCAAAGGGCACAAGCTGTCACATATTCTAGAATTTTTCTTCTTTTCTTCCTGCTCCCTTTCATGGGGCCATGTTGATGCTCTGCGACCCGTAAGAAAAGGGGTAAAGAAAATTAACAGGCAATTTCTTTAGGAGCTCTCATGAAAGGGTTGCTAAAGAAGGAAGCTAGGATGGAGTTTTACAAAGGAAGAGCAGGAACTTTACCTGCTTCCTCTGATCTCATTTCCTCAAGAACACACATAGGGACACACATATGCCTAGACCTTTTATATGTAGTGAAACTTTGAACAAAACAACATACACTCAAGTAAGGAAGGTCAAAGCTATCATGCTGAAAGAAAATGTGCCAATTCTAGCCAATATGTCAATTGTAAGGGTCAGTAATCCATAAATTATTTGGATGGTAATTGTGTGTTTTAGTAATGTAATGTGATTTTGCACTATTGTATTGTCATATTTAAGAAGACTCTTAAAAACACCCTGAAACCTAGATGCCAAATGTACAGTTTATAAGTTCATGTTATTTCTGATAAGGATTTAACTGCATTGTGCTAATAGTTGTTTAATGCTATTAACTTTCTGTATGTGTATTATTGCGATGCAGACCTGATAGGGTTGTTGTAAGCACACTAATTAGTCATCTGAATTTTTCTAGATAAAATCACACATTGATCAGAAATCACTTTTCTACTTATTTTTTTGTAGAGTATTTTTCCACACTTGAAAAAACATGATTTTGTATCAAACATCAGCTTTTCTTTAAAATCTTATTTTAGTAGCTAGTGCATGTTTGAAATAAGATGTGTTAGAGATTATATGACTATATTAAGGTTGTGTTATATTAGGTGAAAAAAATGCATGCCGTTGATGAATCATGCATCTTTGGGGGGTTTACACTGCCAACACACACAGGCTTTGTCTCAATCCATGTGCATGATTCGCATCCTTTCAAAAGTCCTCTTTACACTTCAGTAAAGTGAAAATGTTATTCTTAGTGCTACTGAGCCAATAAACAATGCTGCTTTGCATTTTTCCCTCACTTTGCAGCATATTGCAGTAAATTTTTCCCTAAAATTTTCTTCCTGGAGTTTCTTGTTGGCAATAAAATACAACAAATAAAATCATTTGTTGGCAAATGATACAATTTACTGTACAAAGCAACTTACTATTATGAAGCATGAAGATGTGAAAAAAACCATCTTAATCCGTTCCATACTATGAACACAATATTCTGGCAGCTTTTTCTACAATCAAGAACGGTTTGGGTTTTTTTTTTACACTGCCAAAATCAGTACTACTGCCAAGGAGGATTAAAACACTTGAGGCCAGGTCTTCACAACACTAAACTGGGCGATAACGTAGAACATTCAGGCAATGCGGACAGCCAATCAGTGTCACTGGTATAGGAAAAAGAATGTAAACCCAATCTTTTTCTGAGTAATGGGTAATCAAGAAAACAATGATTGTATAAGAACTATGAATCTTGGCTGCAGAGACCAAGCCTCTGCCTGCTGATAATTTGCAGTAGTCTTTGCAAACAGAAATTACTCCATTCAATGAAGTCTTGTTTTTGTTTTTGTTTTGTGTTCTTTTTCAGAAAATATACTTGTGCTTTTGAAAGGGCTTAATTCCAAACAGATAATATGTGTGAACCAACGGCCATGCCTCAAATGAAATTAGTCATTCATCATAATACAGTAAGGCTAGAACATAGCACTTGGTGACTTAAAACACCAAGATAAGCATTTACACTGTTGGAAGGTAATTTCATTGCTAAGCTATTAAACCAGCGGGGATCCTATTTATACATTTATTTATTTATTTATTTACAGAAGTTTGGTTCATTCAAGTTCAATTTTAACAGCTTCAGTGAAGTTAGTTTAATGGTAAGAAATGTTGACTTTCACTACTATTCCAAATGAAAATCAGGCAATTGAGTCTTGCTACATCCCGGAGTAAAGCATTAATCCAAATGATGAGTAGTCAGTTCTAGCAGTGTAGAGGCCAACTTTACCGGCCAGGATGTTGCATTTGTATGACATTCAGCAAACATTGATCTGGGCTCTTAGTTTGCTACATATTGTTCCCTTCGTTGATTCAACCTGTGAATAACATAACATGTTATGGCAGCTAAGCAAATGTTTTAATAAGCCATGAAAGGCAAAATGCCATAGGGAATCTGTATATTCAGCTATTTGGAGAACTTGTGTTTTCCACAAATTAAACTGGAGATGTCATTTGAAATTTCCTTCCTTCAAAAATGCCATTGCATTGTGGATTCCTGCCCATTGATGTCTTTCCAGGCTTATAAATATATGGTGTTATTGCTACAGTTATAATTTTGTGAAATTTTGTTCAGCAATTAATAGTGACTTCAGCAATCTGTGCTAAAATCCCAAGGCAGAAATAAATGTGTAAAAGATTTGAGCCTATATGTGCAAGAAGAACTCTCTTTCTTCAATCATATTTCCTATACTCAGTGTTAAGTACTTCACTGATTCACCACTGGAGTTATTCCTTGGATGTGTAAATAATGATGTTCTTTTCAGGCCTAGTGAATTCCTGTACTGTGACTATTTAAAATAAAAGAATTCAATTTAAATGTGCAGTAGTTAGTGCTGGTTATTTATAATGGTTACATTCAAAATCATTCACTTGAGAGATTCCTTTTCACTTACATGCAAATCTAGATTCTCTGTATATATTGAATTAAAATTTTAAAACCAAATAAATATATTTTACAGATTATGCATTCATTACAAATACCCAATCAAAAAATGACAGTCAGTGTATGTACACATGTAAACTGTTCTTCACTAGTTTGTTTCCTGAATCCCGCATTGTTTTAGTGGACTTGGGCTGCAATTAGATCTTTAATGATTTGGGCTCATGGCGGGGAATAGGAGAATCTTTCCCACTCTCTTCATTCTGCCTGGATCCCAGCTTGAAGGATGCCTCCGCTTGCATTCTCAATTCTCTACTACTCTACGTGCTTTACTGATTGTTTGTATTCCGGCTAATAGACTCAACAGTGACCAATAGACTAAAGTCCCAAGTGTATATATCCATTATGGACTTCTCTCTTCAGCCATTTGCCTCTAATTTCCAATTGCCTATGTCATCTAACTTCTTGTAGACTCACTGCCTTGGAAAGCCCACTGTGAGGGGATTTCAACACCTAATTCCCCTCTAATCTTTCATTCACTTAATGGCACTAATACAAATTATGTTGCCTAAGTCAAAAACTTGGAAATCATCCTTGATTCTTTCTCTTCCTTTTCCCCACAACCACTTGACCATGAAATATCTCCCCTTTCTTCTAGCCTGCTGCTATTGCACCACTTAGTCAATGGCGCCTTCAACATTTCTTACCTAGACTAAAGCAATAACTACTTTTTTTTTTTTTTTTTGGTTAAAGATTGGTACCTGAGCTAACAACTGTTGCCAATCTTCTTCTTCTTCTTTTTTCTTATTCTTCTCCCCAAAGCCCCCTAGTACATAGTTGTATATTCTAGTTGTGAGTGCCTCTGGTTGTGCTATGTGGGATGCTGCCTCAGCATGGCCTGATGAGTGGTGCTACGTCTGCACCTGGGATCCAAATAGGTGAAACCCTGGGCCACCAAAGCAGAGTGTGTGAACTTAACCACTCGGCCAGGGGGCTGGTCCCGCAATAACTTCTTAAAGTCTTGAAAATCTACACTCTACACTGCTGCTAGTGAGAAAAACAGAGAAAAGGCGATAGGGAGAGAGAATTCAGCAATAGTCTTGATTAACCAGTAATTTTTTTCCTAAAAGACACACGTTTTATTATGGTTCCTTGGTTCTTCATTCAGAATGAATTCCTCATTTGGTAGCAAGTCATATACAGTTCTTTAAATTTGGCTTCTACCAATTTTTATAAGCTCTTGTTTGCTCCTCTCTTGTGATGCTCCGTCACACGTGCCCTTATGTGATAACTCCCATGCCCATCCAGAACCCATGGAGTTTTTCTGCCAGCGAACCATCAGCATCCTTCGGCTATATTTAAGGGTCACATCCACTATGATGCAAAATATATTCCATATTTAAGGTACATTTCAGAGGGTTAAGGGTCAAGACAGCAGGTAAGGTGATCAGCATTTTCATTGAAGAAGAGAGTTGGCCTTAGAATGTTGAAATGAAAGGTCAGATTAAGGAGAGCTTGACACTCAAATTGATAAATGTAGACTAGGTTGGTTGGTTGGTTTGAATTGATTTATTCTGCAACATGATGTAGTCATTGAAAATTTATAAGCAGATGTACAATGTGAGCAAAACCACAAAATACATCTTTCTAAAGCTCTAAATCATTAAAAAATGGAAATTAGCACCATAACATCTCATTTACCATCATGGCCAATTCTAATTCCAATGAATAATGTCTTCCTTTAGCTGAAGAGAGGCAACGTGATGTGGTGGCTTGAAGTGTCTGGGTTCTGGAGCAGGATTGCTCCCATTCAACTGTCAGCTCTCTCACTGCCAAATGTGTCGCCTTGGGAAGTTTATTTTGCCTCAGTTTCCTCCCATGGAAGACAGGAATAATAGCACACCTTACTTATAAGATTGTCATGAAGATTAAATGAGTTAATACATGTAAAAGATTTACAATAGTACCTGACACAGTAAGCAGGCACTCAATAACTCTTAGCTATTATTTTAAAAGCAAGACAAATATTTTCCTAAACATCTTCTTTCAATTCTTCCAGTCTCTATTAAACCACCATGTCCTAAAAATACGTTGTTTTTGTTAAAACCTTAGATCTCCAAATTACTATTCTGTTGTTGGGTAGACAGAAAAAGTTGTTTTCATTATAGGGAAGAGTCAGAAAACATGACTGGATATATCCTAGTGACAGGTAAAATACTGAATTTTTGATATCCTAGTCTCAATAGTCAGGTACTTTGAAACAAAAAATTCCATATCGAGCAGCTCTGCTTTGGGACTTACCATATCTAAAAGAAGCTGGTGACAGTGTTAACCCAGAATTTGTCATACTGCAAGCAGTGTAACAACTTTCTTGGAGCACAGAACTGACCAGTAAAAACTGAAAACTCCTTTCTGGGTGGGCACTTCAGTTTTGCCCTCCTGGTCTTTTTTCCCTCTCCATCCATTTGCAGAGGACTTAAAAAAAAAAAAAAAAAAAAACTCAGAATACCTTTAACAATGGATCCATTGCCATAAGCCAGCAGGATAACAAACCCAATTCCCAGAAGCCAGCAGGGACATGAATGCCTACAACACACAGTTTAGTAAAAGAGAGCAAATAGATTATTCTGGAAGGTTCAGTGTCCCTCTGGGATTGCCAGATTCTGCCATAATATTAAATATTAAGTCCAAAAGCTTTAGCCAGACCAAAACTCAGGATTTTAAGTATGCAAACCATAATTACTTCAAGTAGAAATGCTATTTTTAGAGTTTATGAGCTTATAAGTGCAAGAACACGTCTGCCTGACCATGTGGCCATTTATTAAATTTGTCGACATATGTTATTTATTTCAGTAATTGATCATGTTTGCAAACGATCACTCTGTATCTGAACACTGCATCCAGTGGGTCCCTCAAATCTGTCCCAAATTAGGCTAGTGTCAAACATTCATTCTTTCTGGTGCTTGTTGAATAAAAATTTGGTCAGTGTTCAAAAACATTTGAAAAATGCTTCACAAAATATTTCTTTTATGGAGATTCACAATGCATTTTCATATATTAAGGTTCCTGACATGTCCTTCCATAAAGGAGTGTGTTTACTTTTGTTTAATCCAGCACTTCTCACATACTATTTTCTTACAGAAACTCTGGTTTTCTGTAACACTAATTTGCATCCCATAAAAGTAGTGGTCCATGTAGTACTCTGAAAAATGCTGCTCGAAGACCAGTTGCTTTTTGCTCTAACGCAACCTGGATTCAAGTGTCATAAGACACTTGAGTCTGATTCATTTTTCTCAATGCCTGCCCTTGCTGCTGGATTGCCATGTGGCCTTGCCTGGCCTGGACCCAAGAAACTGGAGTGGCTCTAGATTCGCTTTCCATTTTCATCCTGGAACTCAAAAGTCCTCTCTAGAGGAAACTTCAGCAAGCTGCATAGTCAGGATATTGATCTGCTTCAGGATTTCTAGTCTAGACTCTCAGTTAGGATTATCCAACCCTCTTAATAATAGTTTGATTAGTTATTCTCCAAAACACCTGAGCCCACCCAATTCCCTCCTGAGACTACCTAATAACACTATATCCCTAATTTCTTATAGGAAATGACCATGAAAACTAAAAGCTCATCGTATCTTGCGATTTGTGAATGTTGAGAGAAAAAATACACTAATTCTGAATTCAGTTCAAAACACATTGACAACAACGAGTTCTATTAAGCAAACTTCCTGATCCTGTTTCTCCCCCTACACTCTCGTCATCTCCAGCCTCGAACATCTTTCACGTGTGTCTTGTTAACATTAGCGAGGCAGGGCAAACTGGGAGAACCTGAGACCTAGAAACAGTTCTGCCAACGGAAGCAGGGCAGGTACTAGAGAAGTAGACTCAAGTTTTAAATAAAACAGAAAGATTATTCCAGTAAGCAAAGCATTATGTGATTTCCATAGGTTAGGGCAACAGGCAACAAGTGATAGTCCAGGGACAAGCAAATGATTAGAATGGGGCAGAAGGGCAAAGCAAATACATTTCTGCATGCAAAATACAGTTCCCAAACCAGGAGGTGGGAGATGGCATAGGAGGCAGGAGCAGATGTCTGGAAGAAGAGAGCGAATGGGGGATGACTGGGGTTCCATCCACCTAAGAGAAGGCTCGTGAAGAGAAGACTTGGATCCTTTGGAGACCAGGACTTAGATGATGACGTCAGGAACTGAGGAGGAGACTGAAGAACTCACAAGCTCAGTGATGAGAATGGAGACCAAGGTGAGACTACCTTCGAGTCTTTGGCAAAGCTCCTTATTTGACCTGGCCTCAGTTTGGACAAGTCTCTGAGCTTATAGATTGTCCTCTAGAAGCCCCTGTATAAGAAAAGATGGCCCAGAAACTGAATTGCCTAACATCTCCTCGCTTAGCAATCTGGCCAAGTAATTTACATTTCTTGACTGTAAAGATGCTTATAGACCAGAAATTTACTCCAGCTAAACTATAAACAAATGATGAAGTGGTTTTGAGAACTACGTTGTAATCAACTCTCTTCAGATTAGATCTTTCTCAAAGAAATTCAATGTTCTTAATTGTTTACGTCTGGAGGAGAATTCACTCTGCTGGAGATATATTTTTACCCAAATAGCCATGTAAGAAATATGCAGGAAAGTGTTTATCAATAGCAAAATAATCTAGAATATTTACCAAACTTTTCTATTAAGAATTTGACATGTAATTTTCATTCTCTGCATTGAATAAACTTTAAGATATCTATTTTGAAAAATCTTTGTCTTCAAACTCAGCAGGAAGATAATTGTTTTCCTCACTTCTGGAGCAGGACAAAAGTAAACAGCATCAATATAGTAATTATTATTTTAATGTAAAATCACTCCAAACCATGTATTTTCTTTGTGTATGTCTGTGTGTATGTGGGTACAGGATAGTATTAATTTCCTAATTCA